TTTTTATCAATTTCCTTTTGTATATCTTTAATGTTTTTATTAGTTACTTTTAATTTACTTATTAGATCAGTTCTTTTCGTTCCTTCGTCTGAATCCTTTTTAGGTTTTTTATTTGTAAATGTGTTATCTGGATTTTGTCTTTTTTTAGTATTTTCAGGTGTGGTATTAAGACTTTTTTATATGCCGCAAAAGAATTAGTGTTATTATTAGCTGTTTGAAACATAATTAAATATCACTTTGGATATTTCCAGTAAACCGCTATCTAAAAAATTCGATTAATTTATAATAAGAGCTACTAAAAAAAGTTAAGAAATCTTGAACGATATCAAAATTTTTTTTAAATTCTACTAATGTGATAAATGATAAATAAATTATCAAAATGACAATTGTAATCCGTATTAATTTAAATATACTCAACAAAAGATTTGAAAAATGTTAATTGTATTCTTCTTCATTCATAATGAGATGATAACAAGTAATAATATTTATCTATTTATATTTAAAGCATTTCTGAAATCATCAATCTTATCGAAAAATTAGCAAAAGAACGATTACTTGCAAATGATAAAGAACAAACCCTAAAAGACATAAAATGGTTAAAGAAACAATTATTCCTCATGACAGTCACCAAGGAAGAAGAAAATGAGATAATTAAAAAATTTGCGTTAGAAAGTCATGGTAAAGAATGTGTTGATTATCTCAAGGAATTGCTTGAAGAATATTACAGCGACGAAACGGTTGAAAATCTATTAAACGATTTCAAAAAGAATCAAGCTATTCCCGCATTAAATCATGAAAATTCTTTACATTACAAAACCATCAATGAATTAAAGAAGGAAGCTGAGAAAAAAGAAATCACCGATGATGAAAAAGGAAAAGTTAAAACATTAACGGAAAAATATAGCGGGAAAATAAATAACATAAAGATTGAGAAAAGCATATTGGAAGGTAAACCTATTGAACCGAATTAACTTGAACCTCTGGAATTCGAAGGATTAACCAAAGAAGAACAAAAAAGATTACAAGAAATCGATCAAATAATCAAGACATTGAAATCAGTGAAAGAATTGGAAGATAAGGAAAAACTTGATTTGGAAATTAATATGATCTGTAACAAATACCCAGAAATTAGAAAAGATTATGATATGCGTCAAAAAGAAAGAAGAGATTATGTTAAGATATACGATCAGATATTAAAAGAAATAAATGATAAAAATGTAAAGATTGAAGATTTGAAACATGATGAGGGTGCTATTTCGAAAAAGATTATCAATCAACTAAAAGATAAACCTTTGGCAAAAGATCTGTTCGACGAATTGCACGAAAAATGTAATGAGAAATACACAAAATTAATTGCAAATAATGCAGAAGAATTAGCAGAAGAATTAAAAAGACAAATCAATGAAGAGAAAAGCTCAAAAAATCTCGAGAATATCAAGAAAAATATTGATAAATTAAAAGAAACTAATGCTGAACTAGGCAAGAATGTCGAATCATTACTAGAACAAAGATTGACACGAATCAAAGCATACGAAAAAATATTAGAAGATATTAACAAAGAATTAGATGTTGAAAAATTAAATGATAAAAAAGAAATCGATGAAGAAATTCAAAAATTAAAACAAGACGATGCTGAATATCCAAACAATCTCATTACCGAACTGACAAAACAACGAAATATCCAGAAAGAAAAAGTCATTGAAACAAATAAATACAACGAATACGAAGAAATCATCAATGCTCCATTTGACCATCCACAAACTTTGATAGACGCATTAGATTTGGATAAGATTAAACAACTTAATAATGATAAATTGTTGGACAATAAACAAAAAATTAATTTGGAAAATTCATACAGAAAAAAACTTACCGAATTAAACACAAAGATTGTTCAAGAAGAAAAAGAAAAATATAACAAGATTGAAAAAATAATCAAAGAATGTGAAGACCCTGTTCTGTTTAATTCGGAAATGTTTAATGAAATTTACAGGTTGATTGAAAGCATCGATGAAAAGATCATTGAGCACGGAAGTAAAGATAAATTAAACTATATAAGAGAAACAAAAAGAAAAGAATTGGTAAAAAAACTCGACCAGGAATTGTAACAATGTCTATACAAAAACAAGTATGAGAAACCTTCTTTACAAAAAATAATATATCAGTTGAAAATTTAAAGACTGCGTGGAAATACAAATCAGGATTGTCGGTTGATGAAGCAAAAACATGTATAAAAAATGGTTGGATCATTGACGATGAAATAAAAATTGTTAATAAAAAACTTAATTATAGAAAATTTCCAAATATAGACATTGTAAAGATAAATAAAGAAATTTTTGATAAAGCATGTAATATATTCAATGAAATTTTAGATCCTAATAAAAAAACATTTATCTTCTTACCTGAAAACTTTAAAAAGGAAGATATTGAAAAATTAGATAATAATTTACTACCGGCCGGATTAAAAACCAATGATCTTTTTAAAGCCATTGAAGCAAAACGTTCTTTTTTTTATTATGTTTTAAATAATCAAACCAATGAATTTGAAAATGATGGTTTATCCCAAGAAGAAATAGATATGTGTGTTAAATCAATCAAAGAAAAAAACGATTGGGTATTCAACAGTTGGAATAAAAAATGCACCGCTGAATTTTTTAACAAATTCTTGAGTGATTTTTTAAAACGTCAAGGTGCTAAAAACCTGGTCGAAAAAGATCTTAAAAAATGGTTAACAAGTGAAGAAATCGACCCTTCATCAAACGTTAAAAAACCATTAAAAGATTACACAATCGATACAAAACCAAGCATCAAATTTAAAATTGCAAAGATCGTTAAAAAAGAACCTGATAAAACACCAGGTAATTTCTTGAAAGAAAGATTGTTAAGAATAATATCGGAAGAAAATGCTGAGAAAATAAAAACTGAATATAACAAAAAATATGTCGAATCGAGAGAAATTTTTGATATACTACCTGATGATTGGTTAACTAAACAACTTACCAACAACAATGAATTAAATTATTCAAAAGAAGAATATAATGATAAAAACGAATTCATCGATTATTTTGTTAGATACAAATTCGATAAAAATCATGATGATACTTTTAAAAGTATTTTAGGAAAAAACTATAACTTTACAGGAAAAAGAGATGATGAAAAAATGAGCGGTCAAGAAATTGAAAAGGAAGAATTGAATTTAGAAAGAAATATGTCAGCTGCTTATAAATTACCATACATATTTTCATTAATAGATTTTGATCCAGAACTATTACTAAAAAAAGAAGAGGATTTTTCTTGGTTAAAACATTATTATCCCGAACTTAAAGATGAACATGTAAAAAACCTAAACGAATTGTTTAAAACTGATTTCTTCAAGATTGAAAATGATGTTTTTGTCAATCCTAATTCCATGGAATGGTTAAAAATAGAATTGAATAAATATATCAAGGTAGAATTCATGGACGAACAAGTAACCAAGGCACCTAAACCCAATGATAAAAATAAAGAACAAATTGATAAACAAATAGAAAAAGAAAAAGAAATTGTCAAAAAAACAAAAAAAATCAGAAAAAAATTCGGTGGAATCTATAATCTGAATTGATTTGCCAAAAATAAAGCAGAAACCATAAAAAGAACAATCAGAGATCCAAAAGATCCAAAGAAAAAAATCACTGTAGAAGAAACTAATTATATTGTTGATAATGATGGTTTGGGTATATTACCAATCCCTACCGGATTAGGAAAAACTACAAAACTAGTAAAATGTTTGCTATCATGCATCTTTAAAGGTAAACACATCATTCTCCAAACCCCAAATAATTCATTAAAAAAAGATGCGTATATGCATCATGATCCAGTAAATGGATGGTTAACAAGACCAGATTACAAATGTATCATACATGGAAAAGAAGGACATCTTTATTTCGCCATAAAAGGAGATCTTGCATCCTGGATCGATGGAAATAATAACAAAAAAAAATGTTTACCTTAAGCAGAAGGTAAATCAACATTATTAATATTAGAATTACATGAATTAATCAGGTACATTGCGTGTGAAAAAGTAAAAATGCAAGAATACAGCAAAGAAAAAACCCAAAAACTTAAAGATCTACCAGAAAATTATTGGGATGACTATGGATTTGATCAAATAAAAGAAAAACTCATTGATAAAGAAAACACCGTGATAATCATTGATGAAGCACATGATAAGAGTGTTAAAAACACCGCATACCAACACGTTCCTCCATTATTGATAAGAATGGATTATAAAGTATTGTTGATGAGCGCGACGTTTGAAGGAAAAGATTTTTCTATTTCCACAACAAAACTAAGAAAAGTAATGTCTTTAACTAAATTTGGTAATCAGGTCAAATAGGAAGAAGAAAAACATCTTATTTATCTTGCAACTACAAAAGATATTTATAGAAGAACTGTGACCGGTGAAATAGATTACAGTAACAAGATATTAATTTCCGGGTTAAAACCTGAAAAAAGAAAAATATTAGAAGAAAGTGGTATTCTTTTTGTAGTGTTTGATGATACTAATTCTGACATGATAAGTTCAATTACACAAAACATGCCAATAGGATCAATATTCTTATTCAACACTAATCATGAGATGGGAATTTCGCCTTGGGCAAGTTTTAATTTCAACCGGTGAGACACTTGAAGAACTGCTTAGTCGTGGTCCAAGTAATGCGGAAAAATGGAGAAGAGCTGATTTTGTGATAAAATATTCGTCATTGGCTAGCATGATACAAAGAATCAGAAGAGTTGGAAGAATGTTATCTGGATAGGCTTTTTTACTTACCTTAAAACTAGAAGAAACGAAACCATCAAAAGATGTCATCTACCATTTGATTAACAGAATAATAGCACCTGCTAGTGAAAACCCCATGGAATATCTAGCAAAGAATAATTATAAACTAACAAAAAAATCAGAT